AAATCTGCTTTCAACACAGCCGCTCCCTTTCTTCCTTTCCCACCTCCTCCTCATATCTTTATCCCCCGTCACCGCAGTTTGCCATTCACTTCGGCCGAGTTAAGCTTAGTAATTGCCGCGTTTCAGTATTTCCGCTTGATTTGCTAAAAAACTGCATGCTGGCGCTTGCTGATGAGCCTGTTTTTCCACGTAAAATTCAATGGGGCCGAATTCGTGTGATTGTGAGGGGTTGCTTGTTTTCGCAAAAGTGAAGGTGATTGCAGGAGAGCGGAAATGTCGGGCGACAATCCGAACGACTTCTATTTGCGCTACTACGTTGGGCACAAGGGGAAGTTTGGGCACGAGTTCTTGGAGTTCGAGTTTCGTCCGGACGGCAAGATGCGGTACGCGAACAACAGCCAGTACAAGAACGACACGCTGATCCGCAAGGAGGCATACGTGGGCAAAATCGTGCTCGACGAGCTCAAACGCATCATCGATGACTCGGAAATTATGCAGGTACGGCCTGAAACGCTTCTGCAGCATCCTGTGGGAATGGATAGGAAGTCAGAAATATGATAGTAACAGAGTTCCACTTCTCTGAGAGAAGAAGGTACTGGGAAATAACGCCAGCGTGGTAGGCACTTGCCCGTAGCGATTAGCCGTTGGTAAGGCTGTCGATGGCTTTCTTTTTATGCGTTTTGTGCTGTGTAACAGCAGTACAAAACGCATGTTGTCATGGGGTTGTCTGTGTGTGTGTGTGTGTGTGTGTGTGTCCCACATTTTGTCCACCACTTTCAACTCGGGAACCACAAAAGCTAGGCGGCTGAAATTTTAGTATTGTGTTCCCCGCCAGCGGGTGACGTGGCAGATTTAAATTCAGCCTTCTCGTACTCGAGGGTAACACGTGCGGCTCCGTAAAAGTTTTCCGAGTAAAATCAGTATCTCGGGAACCACGGAAGGTAGAAGGCTGAAATTTTGTGAGCATGTCCACCGCCCATGTACCCAAAAAATTTAAATTCAGCTTTTCCCTGCCCGTGGGTAAGAAGTACGGCCCCGTGAAAATTTTTTACGGGTAAATTATTATCTCGGGAACCACGGAGTCTAGGAAGCTGAAATTTTAGGGTAATGACTCCTTGCTCACGCTCAACCTTGCCTGTTCAAATTTATCGTCCCTGCGCTCTCGGGTATCACCTACAGGCTGGTGAAAAATTTTTGCGGATAAATCATTACCTCGGTAATCACAAAGTCTGCAAAGCTGAAATTTTGGGGTAATGACCTCTGCCCACGCTCAACCTTACCTATTCAAATTCAGCTTTCCTGCGCTGTCGGGTACCACTTACGGCCTCGTGAAAATTTTCGCAGATAAACTATTAACTCGGGAATCACGGGACCTTCAATGTTTCGAATTCAGCTTTCATGCGCGTGCGCGTGAAATTTCTAAATATTTTTCAATGTTTCAACTATCTTTGTATAGACTAAAGTAGAACGCAGTGAGGATCATTAATAGGCAATCGTTCGATGGGCTGAATTGCATAAAATGCATGATCGCACCGGCTAGTCTGGTGCGCGTTGCTTTATTATCTCAGAGTTGCTTAGATAGCAGTTCCCTAACATGTGGCAATACTGTTTAGCATTGAAACGGATAGACGGATCGCAGGTGGGTTTAGCCGTCTCTCTCTCTGCAAGCCTACCTCCCTCCCTCTCCTCCCCAAAAAAAGAAACCTTTCGTGCTGTTAGGAAAAAAACCCTGTCGCAAAAAAAATCGCTAAAAATGTGCTTATCGTTCTTTTTTACTGTCGCTGTTACAGCGCTCCATGCACACCATACATTCGAAGCGGCAGTTTTTTATCCTCGCTGAGTTAGGTGGAGATGTCGCTGACACAGTCATCTTCACTGGTCGTTGCTACTGGCTTGGTCACCATAACTTTATTAGGCTGGTTTTGCCCCGCGAATTCGTCTTTCCAAGTGAAGGGTTGCTGTTTTAGGAAGATGATGCTGCATGGCCGGAGCCGGATCGCGTAGGTCGTCAGGAACTGGAAATTCTGCATAATGACGAGCACATCTCGTTCACAACAAGGTTGTTTGCTTTCAGCTCCTGCTCCAGTTACTTTGCTAAATATCAAATGAAAATTTTAGTAGGATTACGTATCTTCTCAGTTTTGGAGCTCCGACTGAGCAGCATTAAGGGTAACAGTAACAAGCAAACTC